ATGCAATAGTTAATAACACTCTCATTTTAAAGACGCCCTTTAGCATTGCAAAGTGTAAGGCTAAAAGCTAATTCTTTGTGATTTAGTGGTTTTCCTAATTTGTAGGTAGAAGTATTTTTTTGAACTTGATGAGCACATTGTTGATCTCGGACGCTCTACCATTAAGCAAAGGAGACTCGTGGCAGAAAAAGCTGCTTGAGTAGGTCATGGTGACAACTTTCCTGCATGGATCCTGAGAGGATAGGGATGTCGATATGTGGTGCTTATGCACGATGAAGATGTAATTGAAGACCGTAAAGTTTACGGCTGGTTATTTATGGTAAGTGAAGGACGATGTTATTAGATGAATAACAGAGACATATACGGACAGAAAAATAAGTCATAAGTATTTTGGATGCTGTAGTACCGTGACTGAGTTATAAGAGACTAAAGGGAAGCTTGGCCATTTAACTAGATCCAAGATGACAACTGTCCCGCATATTGTGAGGATAGGAATGACCACATGTGATGCGTATGATCGAATGAAGATGGCTAATTTCGACCCTGGTGATTTCAGTGAAGGAAGTTCTTATTCAGTAGTTCCGAATGGCGACAAACTTCCTGCATACAGCGTGAATAGGAAGGTCGATATGATGTAATGCTTACGTGCTAATATGTGAATAAAAGTCCTATGCAATGTGAAGCTGAACGAAACTCACCTTCTTGTTGTAAAATCCAGTTACAGTCTAATTCCATATCTGCTTGGAGAAAGTATCTTCCATCTGTCCAAAGAGCAGCCTTTTCGTATGTTATGATTGCGGTCCCTAAGGATATGCAAAATTATAATTGATAATTGCATAGACTGAGTGTCGAGAAGAGATAATTTAAAACAGTCCAGTTTTTCGGTTCTCTTTTTGTTTGACTTTTTCTTTTAATTCTTGTTTTCTGTTTGGTATTTGAATAATTCTCCTTCAAGCTTCATTTGAATGACCCTTACCATGAGATCCACTAAATCCAGAAATGAACTTCCTTCGTTGATACTGTGGCGCAACATCTTCGCTCTGGACAAAAAATTCAAGATATGAATAAAATGACCACTGTGATAAGTGCTACTCGTTACCTACTTCGGGAGGCACCGGATGAAAAATCAACACCTTCCCGTATGAGATCTTAGGAGGAGATAGTCCTGGTGCCAACTACCCACCCACTTTCACCCCTAGTTCCTACAGTTCATGCTACTTCTGAAAGTAGCATATAGGAGACCTGTTCATCGAAAAAAAATTTTTTAAAGTTCATTCAAATACAAATAAGAATGCAGTAAATGGTTTGAACCCGGGGGTAACATGTGAAGGTGTAGTCTGATCGTCCGGGTGAGTGTAGTCCTGAGAAGGACTGTTGTCGGTGGTAGTGACTGACGTTTCGACAACCTGTGCGGAAGTCATCAACAGAGTCAAGTGAATGATTGTTGTCAGTAGAATGTTCTTATTCCAGTTCGTGTGAAATGATCGCTTGGTTTTGCCGTGATGTTATTGGCTGTAAGACTCAAGTGACGTAAGTCGGTCGTGATTGGTCTGTTTCGATCTGTCGGTAAAGTTAGGTCGTTCTTTTTCGGTCGTTTGTGATGTTTATGTCGTGAATGAGTCCAAACTTCCTTTTCTAGACTGCCTGGTAAGCCACAACGACAACTCATTACGGACGACAGTTTACAGGAAACCGACACACACCGACAGATTACTAGACGAGTCATCCTACAACCCTACATCACACAAAGCCACAACTATCAGAACTCTAACACGAAGCGCACAACTAGTATGCGACTCGACAGACAGCTTATCCGACGAGAACAAATACCTTCACCGTGTTTTTACGAAGAACAACTACAACAACGACTTCATCCGACGAAACACTCACCGACCCACTACCACTACCGAAACAAACGACACCGCAACCCCTACGACTACAGCAACCATACCGTACATAAAAGGCATGTCTGAAAACATCTCGCGCATCTTACTACCCTTCAATATCCGCGTCGCCCACAAACCCATCACCACACTACGTCAGTTACTAACCAACGTTAAAGACAAAGACGAACCGAGGAACAGACAGGGAACGATTTATAAGATCAATTGTTCCGACTGCCAAGCCTCCTACATCGGTGAGACTGGCAGAAACCTCACAACAAGACTGACTGAACACAGACGGGCGACGAGGAAAGGTGATGTCAGCAATCACATTGCTGAACACCATCGACTTACCAACCACAACATTGACTGGGACTCTGCGCAATGCCTAACCTACAGCACTGACTATTTTCAACGACTGACTCTGGAAAGCTGGTTTACTAACTTAGAACAGACTCCCCTAAACAGATGTCAACAACTACCCGCTCCATACAAACGACTCATTCACGACATAAACATCACAAACGACCGAAAAAGAACGACCTAACTTTACCGACAGATCGAAACAGACCAATCACGACCGACTTACGTCACTTGAGTCTTACAGCCAATAACATCACGGCAAAACCAACCGATCATTTCACACGAACTGGAATAAGAACATTCTACTGACAACAATCATTCACTTGACTCTGTTGATGACTTCCGCACAGGTTGTCGAAACGTCAGTCACTACCACCGACAACAGTCCTTCTCAGGACTACACTCACCCGGACGATCAGACTAGACCTTCAGAAATAAGAATGTTTGTTTTCCCTCAGTTTTTCCTAAACCCGAGTTTTGTCTGCTCCAAAGAGGGAGATGCAACGATGATATTATCGGTTTCGCATTTTTCGGACTTTTATTACAGTGACGCATAACCCGAATGTCTGCTGGCCTATTAGTTATGAACGCACACATGCAATAAGGCCGTTGTGTTTGCTTTTCATTTCTAGGCTTCATTATGCCATCTAGTTTCGAAGCGGAGTTGTGGTAATCCGATAGGTCATCCATGGTTTCAAGCCATTTCGCCTCTTATCTCTTTATTCGTTCTTACTAGCTGCGGATAACTGTGAATTTCCCCAGGGTCTCAACAAGTCCAATTTTAGATCATTACGTATATTTCTCCTCCATGGCGAGTAATTTAAACTTTTGAATAAAACAACATATGAACAAACGGACAAGGTGCTCGTTTACCTGGTGTGCGTCCGTAGAAGGTACGATATAGGCTTGTATCCTTGATCTTTTCATCACACTTCTTAAATCTGACAATTTCTTGGTCGTATTAACTGAAGTACGTGGTAAGATCTAAATGTTCAATGAAATGGAACAGCACTATTTACAAAGGACGAGAAAATAGTCGAGGGATATCATTATCAACCCTAGGAAGCGCTTGCTGAACCTTGTAGGAACTGGTTGTAAACGCAGCAACCCCTCACATTTTTGTTCGTACCAACCTGAGATTTCCCTTCCAAACATATACGTCGCTTTAAAGAATCTTTGAAGGAAGAAGCATCTGGAATCTCCGCCATTCCTTAAATAACACATTTCACGAAGTCAGTTGTTCAAATACGAGTTTAAACAGTGCAATAAGTCATTGGATGAATTTCAATCATGAAAGTTGAAATCGCAGGTTGTAAAACGACCAAAGGACAATTAACTAACCTATAGTAACAAGTATACTGAGAATAGCGGAGAAAACAACCACCATTCTAACTCCTGAAATCACTTCCTAGGCAAAAAAAACTTTAATTTCCCATTTTCTATCTTCGTTATTTTCAGTTTCTAATAGAAGAGTCAGTGAGGTGTGACACGTGAAGGCGAGGGCACCAGATACTCAATGCTGGTACCAGCTCACTAACAAATGTAACCTGGCAATCAATTAAAATCCGTCGAAAGAATCGGGATAAGCATTCTCAAAGCTTTCATAACCCAATCTTACCTTAGTATCAAATGGGAAAAACCCCTAAATGAGGGGGCATTGGAGCCTTTTAGAAACCGAAAAACCGTACAAAAAATCACCCAAAACCGAAAAACCGAAACAAAAATTGATCAAAACCGAAAACCGCATGCAAAACTGTCAAAACAGATACATTTTTACATCTCAGTCATTAAAACCCTGATTGAACCGATACAGTGGTGACAAGAGGAGCATACAGAGTAAACTATACTAATTTCATTACAGTATTTGTGAATGTCATGGACTTGGCATTCCTTTCTTCTAGTAGCTGGTTAAATTAAAAGCTTTATTTCAGCTGCTCTCTCGAGGTCCGATAGGACTGAATCGCCTTGAAACGCTCTTTTTTTTTCGTTTTCTTTGCTTCCCCGCTATGGGACAGACGCTTATGGTAGTTAGTCATGATCTTCCTCCCCGATCACTAAGTGTTTAAGGACTGTAGGTCTTCTTTAAGTCTGTATCGTCCTAAACGAGCCCTATATTATATATATATATATATAGCAGAGGCGTAGCGTAAGATTTTGAAAGTGTAC